TACTACTACTACTACTACTACTACTACTACTACTACTACTACTACTAGTACTAGTAGTAGTAGTAGTAGTAATCAATATACTGTATATAGAAAACAAACCTTTTAAAAAAACTGAGTAAAAAAAACTGTTATTATTCCGACCCATTAAACTAATCAGGGTGTGTGAATAATTTTGCAAAAACTGTTTATTATTCCGTTGCATTATACTAATTTGGATTCAACATTACTTGAAAGGTCCATACGCATTCAGTTGGTCAGCACTCCGTTCCGCATGTTTTCCCTTCCTCTGATCAAGCGGAGGGGCAAGCATCAACCTTCATCAACATATAACCCTTGACACCAACCAGTAGGATAGACAGGACCACAAAATTGCGGTTATAAATTGACTCTAAAATGAACCAAGCCAAAGGGACCCCAATGTCGTTCACAACCTCTTTGGCTGCCTGCGGCATCTATGCAATCACCGAATAAGGTTGTGCCACAAGATCCAGGCCCTTTCCAAATCTTTACTAGTAGCAAGGACGGTATTAGGTGGAGGCCATCACAAGTAGGTTAGAGGCCATCGCTACTAGTAACGAGGATCAGCAAAGGTAGTCGGTGTACTGCACAAGGGGGTTATTACTTCCTGGTGGTTTAGTGATAAACAAAATAACAATTAGGTTTAAAACGCAAACATATAAAAACAAAATTTGTACCTTGCATGACACTGTTCAGTAGCTGATCCACTTGAAGGCGCCTGCAAATAGAGAACGGCAAACTTTTGCCAAGATTTTGAAGTTGGTTGCAAGCGGCTTTAGATAGTCCCCCAAGCTTCCTGGAGATGTTTCTCGAAATGGATCGCCATGATGTTGAGGCTGTCTTGGAACAGCTGTTGAGTTTCTTTCTCTGTTCATGTAGTCAACAATCCTCAAAATAGTTCACAAACATAGTCTCATTTGTACTCAAAGTGGCTCAAAGACTGTGCTCAAATTTGCTCAACATTGCTCAGAGACGTTGCTCAAATCTGCCCAAATTTGCCCAACTCTCTAATTTGCTCAAACATGCTCACAATTGCTCAAAGATGCTCAGCTGCTCAAAATTGCTCAAAATTGTTCATTTGTGCATAGAAATGCTGACAAAAAGCATTGATG